GAATGAGACACAGTGCAGAATTGTTTTGTTTGCCCTGTCACGTTCTTGAAGGGCAGCAGTGAAGTAGGACTTGAGTTGTAGGTTGGAGTCAGATACAAAAAACTTTAAATTCTAGACCAAGGATTTCACATTTTCAGTTCTCAAATCAAAAGGAGTCCTTACAGGTTTTAGAGCTGATCTGTTAGGCAGTAGACAGCAAGATACTGTTGGGATGGAGAAAAGCATACAGAAAGAGGCTTGCAGAGAAACGGACCTGGATTTAAACCCTAACCTGGTGATTCATTGTGTAGCCTTGGACATAGAGTTTAATTTCTCTCAGCCTCACTCAGCTTCCTTATCTACAAGTCAGAATAGTAGAAAAAACTCATAGGCTTGTTATGAAGATTAAAAAAAGCGAATATGTCATGTGCTTCTCACAGTCCTTAGGAAATAATGAGTTGAAAAAAGATTAGTTATTAATATTGCCATATGTCAGAGAGGGAAGAGACTGGAAAAGAGGGACCTCTAGTTAGGAGATTCAGGCAAGAGTTTGGGTGAGATTGCAAGAATCCAGGACATAGAAGTGGCAGTGATGGTGAGGAGGAAGTGAAAGGTTGCAGCTGATTGGGAGTTGGCATGACGAGAGCAGAAGTTGGCTCTGAGAGTCATGAACACAAGTGGGTCAAAAAGTTAGAATGTGGAGTGGGTGTTTGACGTAATAGCTGAAACGCTGCTTGGAATGCCTGGGTTAGAGTGCCAGCTCTACTCCCTGCCACTCCTGTGTGAGATCTGGACTGAAATCTCAACTTCTGACTTCAACGTGACCAGTTCCAGCTATCAGGGACATTTCAGGAGTGATCCAGGAGATGGAAGCTCTCTATCTGCCTGTTTGTCTTCTCTGTGTTTCTCAAGTTAATAGAATACATTTTTTAAATTTAAAAATCCTAGAGTCTTGTTTGAAAGATGTATTTTATGCACATGAGTCAGAGCACAGAGCACAGAGCCCAAAGTGAAGGAGGATGTGGTGGAACTACAAATGCAAGCGAGACCACTGCTAATTCAGAGCTACAGCTACCTGCTTTGTGCCTGGAAGTGTGCTGGAAGCCAGCATATATTTTCTTATTTAACATTAATTTTATTGATCAGAAGACTAAGCTTTTGAGGGATTCAATAATCCCTCAAGGATTGTTCTCTGGCAGTCGACCAAAGTGTACTCCAAGCCCATATCCATCTACCTGTCATGTGCTTACTCCTGTTCATTCTGCAAGTATACAGAGTGGACCATGCATGTTAAATGAAGGAAGTTGGGTCCTGAAGTATAGCATCGGTTATCATAGGGAGAAGAGGAAGGGGCATTTGAAGCACAGAGTTCATGATTGACATGCTGGAATCAGTTTTATTGGAAAAGGAGGAAGCTAATAACATAGACCAGGTCAAAAGAAGAATGTGATCCTTATCTTTCCAGAATAAAACTAACTACAAGACAAATGTGTTTCCTAGTAGAACCCAATAAATGACATGTGTTCATACTGAAAGAAAACAACAATAAATTTGAGTTCAAAATTTTACAAAAGTGTTTAAAGCGTGTGGCAAGTGTTAGAAGTGTGTTCTGCTTCCAGAATTTAGGATTATTTTCTACACTCAGCTGTCTTCCCACTGTTGGTACTATCACTTTCCATTCCCTTGTACATTAGAATTTCTTCCAGGCTCTGTAGCTTTTTTTGGCTCTTTCCTTACGTGAGTCTTCAGTCTCCCACATTACCAATCTCCCACCCTGTCCCCACTCCCATGCCCATCCCTGATATTTACAGTGTCTAGCAGAGCTGAGTTACAATACCGTACTCCATCACCACCTACTGCCGTCCAACACATGAACTATTTCGACACTGGATTACCTCCAAGTTCTTTAAAATGAACAAAGGCTCTTTTTGACCAAGCCTTTTGGGTACTCAATTAAAATAGCAAGCTAACTTGATATCAATGGATCTTTTTTCAAAGTGAGTGAGGATACAATGAGAGAAAACACTTTTTTTTTTCCTACTAACACTTTTTTTTTTTAAACTAACAGTCTAGGCACCAGAAGTCAGAGATGTGTTGCAGTGAATGTTTTCATCACTGGCAATGAATTGACACGTGCACATGAAAATAGTCTGGAAAAATGGAAATAATTAGATGCAAGAGTGAAACATCCAGGGAAGGTTTCTTCCAGGAGACTTAACTTACCAGGATCTTTGAAAATCAACCATGACCATCTAGTGCCAGGAATGGCTTTCTTGTTAGGCCACAAGGGACGTTCAACAGAAGCCCTGTGGGTTGTCTGTGAAGACATCGTCCAAGGACTGGAAAGTCCAGATTCACCCTGAAAGCAGACACATTTGTTTAGTGATTTGTTTGCTGGGTAAAAATGATCTCTGTAGAACTATTTATAGCTGTTCCTAGTGGAGGGACAGTCCTGCTGGTTTAATGGCCTCCAATGTCCTTTTTATCTTCTTCCATAGTTCAGGAGTCTTTAGAAGCTTCCTGAGGTTCTCATCAGAGCCCACCCTAGATACAGACGCAGAATGACCTTGGCCTATTTTCACATCACCTGTCCTTTCTCATTGTAGCCTCAGATAGGTCTACCTATATCACCACTAAACAAACATTGCAAATCAGTCCCCATATTTTCATACTCCCTAATTAACACAGACGTATTTGCTTCTGTTTTTGCCATCTGATTAGGCACACCCATCTTTCCATTCTTTAAGGTGCAGCTTAAGTTTCAACCATAGAGCAGTTCTTTCTGAACTTCTGACCACATAGAGAATTGTCTGTCCCTGATAATGACTAGATGCATTTGGGGTCCTTCCAGTCCTGAAATTTCAAGTTTGGGAAGCGTAATCTGTCATTCACATTTCTTCCTCCTGGTTATCAGTTAAAAGTATTTGTACAGTATTGACTTCATTTTGAGTTCTCCTATATGATCAGACTGGAATTTCTTCTGTGGGCCAAACTGTATATTGGATTAGGTATGTGATCTTATTTAAGTTATCTAATTCCTATTTTCCTGGATTTCCTGTTGTAGCAACACAAGGGCTATAGCAGGAACTTCATTGGAGGCTTGTCATAAAGATTAAATGAGGATATAAGGGGAGTGGCTGTTTAACCTAACGATTAAAACATCAATATCCTCCATCAGAGGGCCTGGGATCAATTCCAATCCCCAGCTCCTGGCTCCAGCTTCCTGCTAATACTGACCCTGGGAGGCAGCAGTGATGGCATGAGCAGTTTGGTTTCTGCCACACACAGGAGAGTCCTGGATTGTGTTGCTGGCTTCTGTCTCTGGCCCCAGCCCAACCTGGATTTTACAAGCATTTCGGGAGTGAATCAGCAGATGGGATATCTCTCCTCTCTGTATGTTTCTCTCTCTCTCTCTCTCTCTCTAACTCTCAAATAGATATAAAAAGCAACAACAAATGAGATAATATACTAAAAAGTACATAGAGGAGAGCTGTGGATAGGTAATGTGTCTTATTCATTATTATTAGTCATTTAATGCAACATAGGATTTACTACATCTAGGACAGTAATATATACACTCAGCACCTGTTTAGAATGAAGTTTTCTCCTAAGTTTGATTAACTCACGCAAATTTGACCACCCATTTATATATAATTATAATACTACAAAATTATGTTTGTGAATATGCACTAATTGCTGTTTATTTATTTGTTGTATAATTACCAATTATATATTTACATGTATATATTTACATGTACTTGGATTACTACTGCAAGTTTTCTATATAAAATGTATTTATGACTTTTCTGGGCAATTTAAGATATTCTCGAGGGTAATTTCAGCTATCAATACGTGTTGTGTGAAATGGAGTTCCATATTACCAAACTCTTTTAAACACTAGATGCTTTACATACATGATCTCATGTAATCTTTATGCCCATTCATTTTACAGAAGAGGAATCTAAAGTTCAGGGAAATTAGTTAACTTGTTCAAGATCACCCAGCTGGAGAAATCAAGATTTTTACAGCACAACAACCTGATTCCCCATACTTTGGCTGTTTATCTTATTCATTTTGACTGACCTGAGTACAGCATTTGAGACCATGCCATAGGCATGCACTCATGTGACAAGTGATCAGTGGTCACCAAGTTAGACACACAGCTAGCTATCCCTGAAATACGGCCTTGTCAGTTGGCTCCATGGAAGCTTTATCCAGCCCCCATGACCTAGAATATGCATTCTAGGCTGGGGACAACTCTTGCAGTCTGCTCCCGTATGTCCTGCAGTAAATGCAAACAGCAATAAATGGAAGCTAGTCCCTGACTGAACTACCCAAGGCTCTGATTTCATTGGAAGAGCTCCCCTTATTGATTCTTTCACTGCCTCTGTCTTTCTCTCTCTCGTTTTAAAATATTTTTATTGATTTTTTTTGAAAGGCAGAATTAGAGAGAGAGAGAGAGAGAGAATGAGAGAGAGAGCTTCCACCCACTGGTTCACTCTCCAAATGGCCAAAATTGCCAGGGCTGGGCCAGGCCAAAGCCAGGAGCCAGGAGTTTCCCCCCAGGTCTTCCATGTGGGTGGCAGGGGCCCAGGCACACTAGTGGGGAGAAGTATTGGAAGTTTAGCAGCCAGGACTCAAACCAGTGCCCAGATGGGATGATGGCATTATAGACAGCTGTTTAACCCGCTATGCCACAGTGCTGACCCCTCACTGCCTCTCTTGATAGCACCTGATGACAATGTTTTATGAGAAAAGTCTCAAGGAATCCTGATCAGGAACACTTTTAGCACAAATATAAGCTCTTGGCTTGATTTGACTTGATCGTAATTCATTGGAAGAAAGTTGTGGCTCAGGACTTCCTTACACACTTGTTATCTGAATAAGACGGCAACATCATAGTTGCTGAATTCAACAAATGTTTTCTCTGTGCTAAGCATCATGACGAGAATATGTTAATAAGATATGATGTTTTTTTTTTTTTTGAGTTTCCATCACTTTATTTTGCAAAAATAGAAAACTCAGCGATATGCAGTAGAGCGGGGTGGAGGGGAGATGTAAACAGAAGGGAGGGGACAGCACCCTGACCCCCCAGAGAAAAAGGGGGAGCCCGTGGGAATCTTACTTGGCAGCTAAATACAAACTGGGGCTTGGAGGAAGAAGGGAGGGATCTCAGAGGCCCTGGGCTCCCCCTCCCAAGACCCCTGGAGGAAGGGGTCGATTCCAGGGTGTAAACAAAAGCTAATAAATAAATAGAGGCTTCCTCTGGGACAGGGCGGGGTCAGCTAAGCAGCATCCCCCCTCCCTGGGCCAAGCTGCCCTGGGGATCAAGGGTAAAAGGCACTGGGGAGAGGGATCCCCTGGCCCCTGTGTAGTGTAGGAGGGTCCCTGCCTGAGAGCTGAGATGGCAGGCAGGAGGAGCCCAAGGCACATGACAGGGCCACGAGAGGGGCTTGTAACGGAGGGTACCCGGTCAACGCTGCACCCAGCAGAGGTGCAGAAGGCACCGGAATCTGTCCCTTTCACCTGCTGGCCCGGCCCCCGAAATGCAGGGCCAGCCTGCCCCTCCACACACCCGGACCTGGGCACAGAGGGCGGCGTGCACCCGGCAGGTGCATCAGCCAGCATGAGGCACCAAGGGTAGGAGCAAGAGGGCGGGTTCAGCCCTTTCGCTTTTGGTCTCTAGTGTTCCTGTTTGCTCCCAGAGGCCCGAGCACCTGGCAGTAGAAGGGTTGTGGAAGGAGAGAATCCTCCTCCTGCCTGGATAGCCTGGGACCCTGGTATCAGAGGGGCAGTGCTGAGACCGTTAGAGTCCATACCCAGGCTCACCCCTCCGGCCTCTCTCCTGGTGGGAGCAGGGCAGGCCCCCCAGGGCTGGAGACGGAGCCGCTTCGAGCGGGAAGGGGTGAACAGAGGCACCCCTGGAAACTTTGGCAAAAACAAGGAGCTCTTTGGAAGGGGTGGAAAAGGGCAGAACAGGTCCTCCCCCGGTCACTGGTGGTGCCTGGGAGATGGTCAGGCTGCTGCCTGGAGCCCAACCCCACGGTTGGGGAGGTCAGGGACCCTGGTCCGGCTGGGGACTTCGACCCCGCTTGCCCTGGCCCCCAGGAGCCTCATCCTCGCTCGAGGCCTTCGGGTGGGAGTCAGGCTGCGAGGAGTCGTCCTCAAACATTTCGGGGTTCTCCAGCATCTCTCGGATCAGGGGGGGTATCGGGCCTGGAATCTCCATCTTCAGGGTAATGGCCCTTTCTGCTCCCTTGGTGCTGATGCCCCGCAGGTCGGTGATTTTCATGAGCATCCTCGGGAACATGTAGGGCTGGCTGGGCCGCCGGCGCCGGGCGTACAGCCTCAGGGCCTCCAGCAGCGGCTCCTGCAGCTTGTCCACTTTTTCAGGCTCCTCCAGGTCCATGCGATCTCCACAGATGAGGCAGATGGCACTGAGCAGCCCCGTCTCCGTGTCGTCCATCTCCAGCGGCAGGAGCTGCCCGGCAAAGGTAAACACGAGGTCTGTGAGGGGCCCGAAGCCTGCGTTGTGCATCTGGGTGCGGTTCAGGGTGAGCCCGTCGGAGAAGGTCATGGTGTCCTGCTCCGGAGTGTACCTCGTGCAGATCCGCAGCATCAGGATGTCCAGGCAGGCGGCCTTGAGCAGAGTGATCTGGTCGGCGATGCTGAGCCCAGTGAAGCCGGGCAGCCGCTTGGCAAACTCCACGATCTTGATGATGCACTTGGTGGCCAACTCACTGAACTTGTCCCACAGCCCCAGGTCCAGCTGCACCCGGTGGTCTGCGCTGGAGTTCGTGGTGTACTTGCCCAGCTGGCAGAGCGAGGGGAAGGTCTCCTGGTGGGCTTTGCTGACCTTGCTGATGAGTTCCTCTAACTGGGGGCTCAGCTCATAGCTGTCGGGTGAGCCTTCTTCCTTCACCTCTTTGGTGTTCTGGCACCCAGCTGCCCTCCAAGCCGGGTCGCGATGTACGACTGCATGGAAGCGTTTGCCCCGGGTCCGCGACGGCTGTACGGGGCGGCCGGGCCCGGGGCCGGCTTGCTGCGCAGAGCCACCGGCAGCTCCTGTTTCACCGGACTTGAGTCTTTTGCCTGGCCACAACCCGCCAGTCTGCAATCGGTGGAAACGCAAAGCACCAGCTCAGAGGAGATGGTGCCCAGCTCACCCTCGCCCCCTCCACCCCCTCGGGTCTACAAGCCCTGCTTTGTGTGCAGTGACAAGTCCTCTGGCTACCACTACGGGGTCAGCTCTTGTGAGGGCTGCAAGGGCTTCTTCCGCCGTAGCATCCAGAAAAACATGGTGTACACGTGTCACCGTGACAAGAACTGCATCATCAACAAGGTGACCCGGAACCGCTGCCAGTACTGCTGGCTGCAGAAGTGCTTCGAAGTGGGCATGTCCAAGGAAGCTGTGCGCAATGACCAGAACAATAAGATATGATGTTGAAATTATGGGCTTATAACCATCTGTATTTCATAATATATTCCACATTTCTTATGTACTAAAATAATTTACTGACTATACTTCTGTAAGTTTTGCCCATTGTTCATAGATTCTTTGTGTGAGCTTGTCTAGAAAGGAAGAGCAACAAAATAGTGTGGGACAAGGACAGGTGGTGAATGCTGAGTGCTTAGAAACACAGCTCACCTTCTAGCCTCATTCTCTCTTTGTCATATGACCTGGGACACATAATTAAATATCTCCAAGTTTTTCTATCTCCAAGGCAGATTGTGCTACTATTTTCCTCATGTATCATATTTGGGAATCCTCTTCCCAGCATACTGTGAGGCATGCGTACTTCATATGAGGTTAAATGTATTGTGTTATATTATCATGAACATTTTGGGAATCTATGAGTCTGTCTGTTGTTAGCTGTAATCTTATTTAATTTACCATAATAATGTAATGAGACCATTCAATCCCCTGACTTTTTGATAAATAGGAGTTAATAATCATATTTCCTATCTTTCAAGAGCTAGCAATTAGTTAACAACACAGTGATTAAATCGTCTGATCTGGATCAGGTACCTAACTGAGTTTCAGGCAGTCATTGGGTTCCATGATTATTCTTTCCAAAACAAAGACTTGTAACCTCCAGTAAGTGAGAAGATCTGAGGGGCATTTTGGATAAAGAGGGGCAACTTACAGAATTAATTGGATTTATGTGAAAATTAAGAAGTTCATCAGACTTGTAAGATGCTGTATTTGGAATTTGTTTAAACTGACTTTATAACTTCTGAAATCTAGCTCTGCACGCTGTCTTCTATGCAACAGCAGTCACTCATTTTGGAAAATACAACCCAAATCACTGTTGATTCAAGGTGTAGATTCAGGAGTGTTGTTAACTACTTCTAGGAATCTAGGTTTGATATAAAATGTATTTCTTGTTAGTGATGACTCTAATAGGCTACTATTTGGGATAGAGGGAGTGTTGGCATGAAGGTTTCAAGATCCCAAATGTTAGCAAAATCAGCCACAGTCTTACCTGTGATGTGATCTATGACCTGGACACCATCCTAGGCTCTAGCCCCTGCTGCCATTCGTTGCTGGAAGCCAGGTGACCAGATGGTCCAACCACCGGTGTCAGCTCCACCCCCACTCTAATGAGATTCACTACTCCTACATCTCTGCCCCCCCCCCCCAGGCAAAGGAATATAGCACCTGTTTCCCGGATATGTGTCCACTTTTCCTTCTTTGCCCCTTCCTTCTGATCTGTTGGATTTCCCAGTCAATAAACCCTTTCCCTTACTCTGGTGTTTGGTGTGTTTTGTGGCAGACTTACACTAAATAAGAGGAATGGCTGTCAGAATAAGCAATGATTAGCTTAATGAGTTTTGGGTCTGCAGTTGGTTTAAGTCCTGGCTCTACTAATTACGAGTTGTATGAGCAAATTAACCTTTCTGAGTTTTATTTTCTTTGTCTGTAAACAGGGATAGAAATGGCACACACCTTATATATAGGGTTGCTGTGAGGAGTGAATAAGGTAATGTGTGAAAGATTCTTGGCACACGTTGAGATGTCACCACTGCTATCAACATCAGCATCACTTGTGTTCATCATGATCAACATGGTCCTTATTATCACCCTCCTCTCCATCAACTGCATTGACTTCTCTTCTTCCCAGGGTTCTCAGTAAGTAACTTCCATTCCAATTTATCCATTCCACCCTAGTCTGTCTTCTTTCATATCAAATAATGAGTTCTTTTCTTTTCTTAAAAAAAGTTCTTTTCATGTCTTCTGAAAACTACTCTGGCCCCCGACCTGAAGTTCGTCTATAGTTCTCTTTCTCTGTTGTATCTTTCTATGACTTAGGAATTAAGGTGATGCAGGCTTCGTAGAAGAAGTTTGGAGGATTCCCTCCATTTCAATTGTTTTGCAGAGCTTGAGAAGAATTGGATTAGTTCTTCTTTAAATGTCTGATAGAACTCAGCAGTGAATACATCTGGTCCTGGGCTTTTCAATTTTGGGAGGGTCTTTATTACTGATTCAACCTCTGTCTTGGTTATTGGTCTGTTTAGGTTTTCTATGTCTTCATGACTCAGTTTTGGTAGGCTGTTCGTGTCTAGGAATCTATCTATTTCTTCTGAGTTTCCCAATTTATTGCCATCCAGTAATTTGTAGTAGTTCCTGATGATTCTTTTTATTTCTGTGGTATTTGTTGTTACATTTCCTTTTTAATCTCTGATTTTATTGATTTGGGTCTTCTATTTCTTTTCTTTTTTTTTTTTTTTTTTTTTGGTTAGTTGAGCCAATGGTGTATCAATTTTGTTTATTTTTTTCAAAAAACCAGCTTTTCCAATTTCTTGACGTAGGCACCAATTACTATAAACTTCTCTCTTAACACTGTCTTTGCTGTATCCAATAAGTTTTGGTAAGATGTATTGTTGTCTTCATTTGTTTCCAGAAATGGTTTGATTTCTCTTTTGATTTCTTCTATGACCCACTGTTTATTCAGGAACATCCTTCGCTTGAAGTTAACTGTTAAAGGTAGGAATTTATTACACCCTTTAATTCTAATGGAAAATTGGTGAAAAGCTTCCATGGCTTTTCAAATTCCAGCAGTTGGGGGATAAAATATGGTCCTAAGAGAGTTGTATTAGCGTACTTCTTTTTCTTTGTTCCTCCCTCCCCTTTAAAATGGTCCCATGAGGGGTAGGTGTTTTGTGCATCAGTTAAGATGCCCCCTTGGGACACCTGCATCCTTCTTTGGACACCAGGGTTTGAGTCTTAGTTCTGTTCACAATTTCAGCTTCCTGCTAATTTGCACCGAGAGGCAGTGGTGATGGCTTAAGTACCTGGGTCCCGGCCACCAGTGTGGGAAACCTGGATTGAATTTCCAGCTTCTGGTTTTTACTTGATCCATCCCTGGCTGTTGTGGGCATGTGGAGGGTAAACTGGTTAATGGAAGCTATCTCTGTCTCTGTCTATGTCTCTGTCTCTCTCTCTCTTTTGTCTCTAATAATGGTGCCTAAATCCCAAGGGTTATGTCATTTAGGCTGGGAGGGACTAATGTTCTTGCCTACTCCGGGTGTTTGTCATTTGCTTACTCTCTGCTGTCATCCATTCTCTCATTTTCTGTTTGCTTGTTCACTTACTCATATTCAACACTTTGTCCTCATTATGTAATATATTAGGGGTATCAAGTAGCAGCATGATGCCTGTCCTAGTGAGACTTACAGTCCAAAGAGGGTGTGAGAAGGTAGACAATTATAGTTTCACATGATGAACGCTACAAGGAAACACACAGAATGTCGGACATAGACCCTAGGTCTCTGTTCTGTATCTGTGGATTGGGGAAGCAAGGTAGAAGTAGTTGATACTAAAGCTGGTTATGTACATTAAACAAGGGAGGTTAGAAGTGACCTGGTCAGAGGGGACAGTGTAAGCCTACGGGAGAACCATGTTGCTTGCCTGAGATTGGCTGCTCTTGGTTGTCCTGCCCTCTTTGTCTTTACCCCCTCTTTGCTTGAGAACTTGACAGTAAATCTCAGGCTTGAGGCTATGTGAATGACATTCACCAGCTTACCTGGGAGTCCTTCCTCCATAGTCTTTTAGTCAAACAAGTGTGTTCTCAGGGAGAATTGCCTAGAGGTTGTAACAACACTAAGATTCTCTCTGATGAGCAATTCTGTAGCTCTTCTTAACTGGCACAGAGACAAGTGTTTCTTTCTCTCTCTCTCTCTCTCTCTCTCTCTCTCTGTGCACCTTCAATGTACATGAACTACCCTGGAGATTATAAATTGGAGAAGTAAACGGGGAAGTCTACAGTCATGAAGCAAGTGGATGGCAGGACAGAGTGAATTTCCAAGCTTCCACACATTCACTCATGCTCTTCCAACCCAGAATGCCAGTCCACTTCTCACAATTTCCCATCCCTTCCACCCTCCACCACTACTCCAAGTCTAGGAATAAGTAACCACTTGTCCTTCTGTGTTTTCCAGCATTTGCTGAGGCCTGTTTCAGAGTTCACCTCTCATGTTGTACTCATGTCTGTTGGTCTCTTCCTCCAGTTATAAGTTGTGTGAAACCTGGAGTTTTTTCTTAGTCATCTGCGTAGCCTTAGCATGCAACAGACACTTGGTAAATCTCGCTAAATGATTAAACAAATCCAAGAGACACCAAGTTTTAAGAATTAAGGTACATTTTAGTTTAAAAACATGTGAGGTTTTTGTTGTTGTTGTTTTATTTCTTTTAAACCCCAGAGAAAGCCATATTGCTCCAAATAAGCTTTTATCTTGACAGTACTCTTGAAGCTGGGAAGTTTGCATGGTCTTGCTATTGGGCAATATGCAAACAGTGATCGATGGGCATGAGATTGCCATCAAGTACACGGACTTGATAAACCAGTATTTTCACAGAAGCAAACACAAACCGTGGCTACCCAAGCAGATCAATCCAGGCAATCCTCCCTCTGTCTTAAACAGGATTTTCTCAGTGAACTCTTTTCTGCTCCTGTAAATATCATC